CTGGCACATGGGAACAAAGAAACAAGATGATAAATTCCTCAAAAACACCTCTTTGTAACCAAAAAACAGGGTGTCTTTAACTTAGCTGGACTTCAGGTCAGTAATTCAAAACCAAAAACGCTCACCCAAAAGCCTTCTACAAATCAATTTCAGTCTAGGCAGAATCAAAATATTTGCAGGACCATATCACTACTCAATAAAAAATCAGCGAATGAGGGTAATTAAATGGGGAGCAATGGATTTCAACATTTCTTTAGGATACATAAATAAGCGTAACTTGATGCATATAGCCATTAAGTCAATCTCTACTGTCCCATTTCAACAACCTGCATACAACATACAGCAGACCACCAACTTGTTTTACAGAAATTAAGCTTCAGCCACTGCTTATCACACCTTGAATGAGCAGCAAAGAAGGGCTGGAGAAAGAAGTGACTGTTGTCCCCATGCTACAACACATTCATTCTAACTGCCCTTGCTCATCCTCTTTGACACCACCACTTCTGAATGCACACATCTGGGGCAGGAACAACTTTTCCATACAAACTGTGTACTGGTTCAAGTAGAAAATCCTCACTCCCTCCTCACAGCACCTTCAAACACATGAGCCAGAAACAAGCCACCATCTGAGAGGAGAAGGAGATGCCTCTGCATGTTAAGCAGCATTTGGCATCTGCAACCCTAGACACGGAGTCATGGCAATCATGGTAGGCACTGAGGCCAACTCTTCATTTCAAGTTGTGTGTACTTATCTGCACCACACTGCTTTCAAAGGCTTCCGTGCCTATTTTCTAAACAGCTGCTGTTCTCCAGAGCTGTAAGACAATCACTCTTTTGAAAGCACACAAAAATTACAGACCTTTTGAGATGGGTCAAACAAGCATCTTGGCCTCAAACACAGGGTAGAAATTGTGACAAACAGTGCATTTAAGAAGAAATGTTTTAACATAGTAATTATATGTGACAAGACAGGAGGAGTCCTTTCTTTCAGTAACTGCAATTTGCTTATTTTTTAAGAAGATAATAAAAGTGGCATGATAAAACAAAATGCTTAAAAACTAAACCAAAGCCATTCTTTTTTCACCCAGATGCATAGAATGGTAAAGAAAAAGAATTATTTCGATCATTTCCTTAGTAATACACGTAATATTTAAATAGATTTAATAGTGCTGCTCCAAACCAATGAATTATGAGTTTAAAACCTATTAAAATGTAATGTTTTTTTCCTGAGCTGAGGGGAGAGAGATTTAAATTCACTGAATTTTAATATTTCAGCTTGAGCTGCAGGAGGTAGAGAAAGTCCAAATGAACTATTCCATCAGCACCATTCAAGCATGAACATTTTAATCAGTTTTACTTCCTTGGAGTTCTCCAACACAGTTTACGCTGTCATTCTGAAAGCACTTAACACAGAGGGTGTGAAAAACCACCAAGGCTTGTTATTGCCTTCACAATTGATGGCAAATAATTTTGCAGACTTCCTATCATTAAAATGTCACTGCTAAAAATTGAGGTTCAGCATTTCTTGTGCTAAACTGCATTTTCTTTGAACACCATCACACACCTGTTCTTAAGTTTTTGGTATATTTATCTCTCTCCATGTGATAAGCAGGCACAGAAGCCTTCATTTCTGCCTTACTACCCAACTGCAATTGAAAAATGACTGTTTTAAACAGAAAATTCCTAAAAAGTTATGAGTTAATTCCCTGGTTCCCTTATTAAAATGTAACCACACTCACATAACATGTTCCAATTGTATAGTATAATGGATTAAAGAAAACAAACCCCAACATTTTAAGAAAGTTAGATGACTCAATTTATTAATACAGGAAAAAGTAGCTCTGGATGTGCACTACAGACTGCCCTGAGCAAGAATGCTACAACACACTGCCCATGGCAAACACCAGAGGTAGACCCTGGATGCTTGCAGATTTACAATCCTCCTGAAGCATGCTTATGACACACACCCAGTTTTGGTTTGGCTTTTCTCACTGCATCTCTCCAGAAGATGCTAGATGATATTTAACTTGTTTGAGCCCATCAATAGTTTTAAACTGAACATGACCTGTGAAAGAAGTCATTATAACTCTGTTTCATTCCATTAAACATAACTAGTTTATTGTCAGGAGAACAGGCAGTCTCTCTGGGTTCCGGGCTCACTTCAGTATTTTGCATTTAAACTGCATGGATCAGTGATTTGGTTCATTTACCAATGAAGATAGAATAATATTGCAAAGTTAAAAGGTGCTTCATCAGATTCCATTAAATCAGAGCACATTCATACAAAAATATGCACATGTGAAACACAAAGCGAGATATGATCTGTGCACCTTCAATTCTTTCCTTGTGCCACACTCCATTTTGGTAGCATGCATTTTTAACTCAAGGCCAGAGTTGCTCTGTTTGAACCAAGAGTGTTTAGCGTGAGTGAGGTGAACCAAACAGGATGCCCGCAAAATAAAGAGAGACCTAAGCTAGTGTCTTATTTCAAAAATTCCAAATACTGTTTCTGTTTTTGTCTGATACACAGTTCAATAGGTTGAACAAACTGGCAGTTTTTAAGGTACCACAGTGTTAAAAGAACACAAACCCTGCCAGGCTTATTAAACAGAAAAAATAACATAAGACAACATAATCAGATACATAAAAAACCCCCATGATTTCCAATTATTTTCTTTGTTTTATTTTTATTGGTATTCACTTTGCAAAGTATGACAAGCCTTTTCTAGCCCCATGCTACATTTTCAGACTTTAAATCTCTCTAAGTGCAGACATAACACTGTTGTGGGATTCTTGCAACATGATCATAAGCTTATTAGATAACTTGTACTCCTGCTTATTCTATTTTTAAAAAAAGAATCACTAAATGACTGCATGAGATTACTTATCTATAAACCTAATGAGTACTCAATTTCATTCTGTATTGTTCCTGTTTTTCTAAAATTAAAGAGGAACACACAGTATTTCCTATGGCAGCATAGAACAGCTGAGTGAACAAAGGCAGGTAAAAATCAGGCTTGTGAGGGAGACAAGGGATGGCTGACTTTAATGCACAAACCCAAAGTCTGAAAGTTTAGAGAAGTTTGAGACAATAGAATTTCAGTTGACATGAAAAGATAAATTCAGACAGGAAGAGAAAAGAAAATTTACTTCTCTCTTTACTTCTCTCTTTACTTCTCTCTTCTCTCTTGTGGGGAAGAGCAAGAGAATCACGGCCAGGCTCCCAGACAAGTATCTCATCTGTTTATTTTTATTCTGTGTAGTTTAGTGATCCAACAAAGGAGGACAAATTTAAATAACTAGTGTGACGGCCAGTATTTGTAACATCGCACACTTTACACTTGCTTCCTTTACTAGAAATCAAGTTTAGTTTTGCAGTCTCTCTCTAATGCAAACAGAAGTGAATGGCAAAAACGTGCACAGGTAGACTGTAAAGTATGAGTGTGCACAGACACACAAAACCACACATGCACATATACACACGCGCCACAAATGCACATGCAGCACACATGTATAAAAACTTTAACCAAAAAGCCAACCTTTAGCTACTTACTTTATGCAAAGAATGTTAATAAAGGGCAATACTTTTGGTTAGGTAATGAAAACTAATTGGGAAATTATTCATTTCCCACTCTCCCCACTGGAGCATAATAGACATACAACAAATGTTATTCATGATTCTACACGATGTGCTCTGATTCACTCCCTTCTTTCTAACGGGCACTTCAGAGGAAATAAGGGTTACTCTTTTCCATTTATAATTTCTAATTGACTAGCAGTGCTTTCTTGTGGTCAGAGGTATACAAAATACAGTTAGAAATAGCGTATTAAAAACAAGCTACAATCAGGCTGCTGCTCTAAACTACTGTCAGCAATGATCAGAAAGTCCTGATTTCCTTGTTAAAATACAGAGGTATAATTGAAGGCATATCTTCACTTCAGATTGATTATTCGGCGACCCTTATCCACATCTTCATTCAGCAATTTGAATTTTAATGAAAGTAAATGGAATAATTAGCATTTCAAAGTTTGTGTGATACACTGAATAAAAAAAGAAAAATACTTTTATGTATAATCTATACACAAAAGAAAAAGCATTTGGGAGGATGCCGAAGATACAAAGTAGAGTTGTAGTGTCTTCATTAGAATAACTGAAACAACTGCTTGCTTCAGCAGTATAATTATACAAGACAATAATGTGTTATTAAGCTATGACTTCTCACCTTTGTTTTATGTAGTGTGAACAGCCACAGTTTTCATTGCTATGTCTCTTCTCCAGTTGTAAAATATAAACACTGTGGCTGCCCACACCTATAAAATTTCTGTACTGGGCTAATACCACTGCCAGCAAAGGTTTTACAAGAGGGGCTCCATGTACCTGTATTTATAGATGACTAAGAGCAGGACACCTATAAGCACAATGGGGATGGGTTCTTCTGCTAATGGTCTTGGTTGTATGTTTGGGTATTTTGGTTTTGGTGGGCGTGTTTTAGTTAGTTAGTTTGGTGTGTGGGTGCTTTTTTTGTTTTTTTTTAAAGTAACAGCTATTTTTTGATGTAAAAATAAAAACTGTGGTTAATACTGAGTCTTAACTGATACTCCTGAACCAACATGCAGAAAAAGATGTGGGCAGTTAAGGATGAAGAAAAAAAGTCTATTATATCAAGGGTACCTGTTACCATGGCTGCAGAAGCAGACTAGCAGGTGGTATGCAAAGGAAACAATGTTACTTAAATAAAACAATTAACAAAAAGAAGAGGAAAAAACAAATACTGAGCCTGCTTTGGGTAATAGATACAACACAAACTTAATTATCCCATTAGTCTTCTTGGCACAGTGCAAGCAAAAGTCTTCAGGTAGTAACCAGCTTTTATGAAGCTCAAGCTACTGAACTTCACCACTGCCCACAACTTTTGCCCACCTGATGGAAATGAGTTCATGCAAGAGAAAGAAAAAGTATTTATAAACACTATCAGAGCTAAAATGGAAAGACCACATACCCCAATGATTGCGTTCAGTTCTGCCATGGTCACTTGTTTGGCACGCTCCACAGCCTGCACCACTTGTTGCTGGTGCTATAAATGAAGATCAGAAACAGAATAAAATTATTTGTTTTCTAAATTATTAAGCATATATTCTTACTTTTACTGTTTTTATTTGCTTTTCTAAGACATGCAGGATCTGAAGTAACTGTTCTCTAATAAGACAGTCATATTGTCTGTTGATAAGTAAAAATATATAGGCAAGGGGAGGATTTTTATCTTTATGCCATCACATGCTGGGAATTACACCTTTGCTTCCTGAAGAGCTCTTTCACAACCTGGCAAAATGGGAAGCTCTCTTCCTTTTGTTCATCAACACAGTTTTTGAATTTAAATGCCATCTTCAAATGTAAGTCTCTTTCCTTACAGGCATGGAAACTTTATGAATAAACCCCACCCAGTTTTCTGAAAAATAAGGTGTGTCTTTTCAACAAGCACATGGCAACCACATCACTGAAAAATATACAGATTCTCCTTCTACGTACATTTCAAAGCAGCTCAACTGTAAGAAGAAAATTTAAAATAACATTCACAAATCTGTCAAACATGTGAAAGAGACCAAATTATTTCAATCCCCAACATGTAAATTTTAATATCTTTTAAAAAATCAATCAAAAACACATGGTCTAATTAACAACACGGTTTACAAACTCCAGTTTGAGTGATACTGTATTCCTGCACTAAATTTGACGTGGCTGTGTGTTGAAAGCCAACTGGTATTTATTTGAAAATAGTAACTACAAACAAAATAATGTTCTCATCTTGTAACCAGATCCATGCCTGCTCAGACCTCCACCAGTGGCAAATTAATCTTCACAGGCAGCCTTGAAGAATCAGGATGACACAGAACAAATAGGTGCAAGGAGGGGTCATGAAGAACTGCAAGTAGGTTGTGAAGGGTTGCACTAAGAGTGCGACGTTGATTTACAGCCACAGGTTGAACAGAAAAAGGAGGGAGGTCCTGACAATCTGGAGGGGTGCAAAAACTGTAAAAATGAAACATGAGCTTTGCATCAAAACCAACATCCAGATGTTTGCTGGCACAAAGTTTAAGGGAAAGGTTGAGAAGATCCCTTTAAAGATTCAAGTTTGCCCTCTCATGGCTGTGTATATGGACAGAACAGAGCCAAGGTACAGACCATCCTCCTGAGCATCCTCAGCAGAAGCAAGAAGTTGCATAAAATAAAACAAGGACCCAAATTCTCAAGGCCATCTCCAACACAAGAACTAGGTGAAGAGAATCAGGACTCCCCAGGGAGCACTCTAAGATCAGTGAAGGAGGGGTTTAAAAGGGAGATGCTGTAAAAAAGGATGCTGCTCCTTCAGGGGCTGGCAGGCCCAGATTTCACAATTCTCAGTGCAACAAACAAAAATGGCATTTTCACTTACAAGCCCTCTTGCATAAAAGTTCTCAAGGCAAGGAAAAACAAACCTAAAACCCACCCATAACTTATGTCCTGGTTTTGGCCTGTATACAGAGTTATTTTTACGCAGCAGCCATGAGGTTTGGGTGTGTCTGGGCTGTTCTATACCATCGCACCTTATTGCTTCAGGGCAGAAATAAGGGACTCTTGGGCTTCCAGAAGAAATGGCTTTTGGTTCAGGAAAGCATGGCACTGGAAGGTCTGTCTTTCATTGGATTTTGGTCCTGGGCTTGGTGAGCAATTTTGCTTGTACATCAGCCTCTTTCGGTAAATTTTTGCTTTTAGCATTGTTGCTATTACTGTCTGTTTTCTTATCTCATGGCTGTTTCTAGTAATTTGTTCTTATCTCAACTTGTTTCTCCCATGGAGGAAGGTGCTGGGGGAAGTGGCTATATGGTTTTTTCTTCTTAGTGGGAACACTAAACTGGGGCATGCCATTCCTAACCAACGACACCAAAAAATTCTGATCCCAACTAAGAAAAACAGATAAATGCAAGCAATGAAGGTTGTAATTTACAAACACTCCTGGAAGGAAGAAAATGGTTTTAGGGTTTGTTTGTTTTTAAAGGAATGAAGGAAATGACTGGTGACCACATAGAATACTGCTACTTTTTAGGTGTTAACAGAATCACAGAAGTTCTGTTCAGTTTTGTAAAACTACACTGCCAATATAAACCAAATCTGCCTGATCTGTCTTATGAGAAGACAATGTGAATGTAGAGTTGTGTTTGCACCATATATCCCCTCATAATGCTTTGTCCCTCCATATCCCCTCTTTGTACCTGTTTGGTTCATCCCAGCTTTCCCATCAGTATGTCCATCAAACCCCAACCCATCCCCCTGTCTCCTCCCAGGTGATGTGTCCGTCACCTGGTGACCCTTCCCCTTTGTCCAGATCCTTCTGGCAGGGTCACCAGGTAACTGGACCCTGGCTGGGACTCCTCCCCACCTCCTCCTCAGTGGTCACTCTGAGGCCTTGTCCCCAGAGAGCTGCTCCCCTGTCCTTCCCCCATTGCCTGCTCAGGTTTCCCCGCCCCCCTATATCTGACTGCTCTGGATTCCCTTTGAGATCAGATGTGGCCTGGGATCTCTCCAGGCCCTCATTAAACTTTGGAATTAATCCTGAGGGGGAGCGCCTCTTTCCTTTGCTTGTGGGTCCAGCTCGTCTTTGGACTCACGAGGGAGCTTCTCCAAGCCCCCCGGGATCCAAGGAGAAGTTCCTTTTCTCTGCCCGACTTGCCCCACTGCCCAGCTGGCCGGGGTCCACAGGGAATCTGTTCCCGTGGATTCGAGGGGGAGACGCAGTATGTGAAGACTAAAAAGCAGGCTGAACATTAGCAACCATGTTCTTGGTATTCAAGAAAAAGGATTTAAAAATTAAAAATCCGGTGTACCCCTGCCACAGATACCAGAAAAAAAGGAAATCATGATATTCAAACACCAGTGTGTTATCAAGCTGCATGTGTAATCAGCTCCAGGTTATCACTTGCTAAGGATAGGTACAGCTTTCATCGATTATATAGCTGCAAGGCTGGTGACCCATGACTCTATATGTCAACAGGGTGATTATAAAAATTACACCACTATTTTCTGGTAGAAGTCATTCACACCATGGAATTTTTCATGAATTCATTGAAAAACAAAAAACAAAACAAAAAAAAACCCTGAAAGAACAAAGCAGAGGTTTTAAAACATTTACTTTTTTAAATAAAAGCATTTACTGAGAAGTTCGTGGTCATCTTCTCCTTCCTACCACAGGCAATGCTTTTTGCACTGAGGTAAGAAAGCTCTTGTATATATGAGTGTTCTATTCCAACATCAATTTACTTAAATCCTGTTCTCAGGAGAAGGAAAAACTTCTAAGGCATCTACAAAAGCCGGCCTAAACTTATCAAAATTACTGCAGAAATTACTTCATTTTGCATCCAGGATTTGGAAAATAAGTCATCTCCACAGAGTTAGAGTGTTTTCTGTACTCTTACAGCAAACACATAAAGAATACCTCTCAGAAGAATTTGGGAAAAATGTTATTTTATTCTTAGGTCAGAGGAAGAGAAGGTGAAGGTATGGACTATCCAAACACCACTTTCAGATTTCTGCCAGAGCAGTCACACAGTCCATCTTGTATTGATTTTAATAGGTTTGGGATCAAGACTTCCAAGAGAGGAGAAAACCCAAGGGCCTAGTAACACTGAACCTGAATTAGGTACAGTAGAGACAAAACTCTCTTATTGCTAGCTGCTTTAACATTGATTTAATCTTCAGTGGCTTAATATTCAGAAGACTCAAAATAGATGCTCTGTACTTAGCCTTACCATCACTTCAGTTCCTTGCAGCAACAGAGGAGGCACTTCCTCAGCTCCCAGAAACAACCAGGGTTGAGTGACTCTGGCTCTACTTCAAGTTACAGACAAAAACCACACACTTGAGTGAACAAAGGTACAGGAAAGCCCAAATAAGTGTTTTGAAGTGTGAGCTGTCTGCTCACAGCCTTTCTGAAACCAGGGTGGGCTGGGGGCTCCATGTCACCAGCCATATAGATAGAAATAGGTGGGGATCTCCACACCTAAAGAAGGAGCCCAGCTGCATCCAAGGACCCACTGCAACCCAAAACCAAGGTGAGAGGCAAGGAGCCCAGGGGCCTACTGAGCAGGATGGCAGCTGGCTGGCCCAGGCTGAATTGGTATCCACAGGTGGATGGTTCCAACACCTACCACATGTGGATGAACACCCTCCTGAGCCAGCACACCAGCAACAAGCAGCATTAAAACCAAGCAGTACATATCCACCTGTCCATCATGTAGAAATTCACAGCCCAGTAAAAACAGCAACAACAAAAAAGGGTTACTTTTCCTCCAACCAAATACAGACATGGGGTTGCAACTTTCACACACATTTAATGCTAGCCTTCATCTGTGCACACAAGCAAATGATAGATCTGTGGTTTTTTCAGTTGTGGGAAAACAGTGTTTTGCACTGCATTTAACATGCCAGAGGAATGAGCTCAATACCCTGCCCCACCTGTCATGCAGACTAGTACTGTTTCTCCTTTCTAGCTTAGTCTCTTGTTTCTTCTCCCCTTTTTGCATTCTATAATGAGCAGTGTGCCTGTACTTGCCTCATTTTGGAAAATCACTTATTTTAAGTCTCACAGTATGTAGCAACAACTACAGAGACCACAGGAAGAATCTAGGTTTTTTTCACCATCACATTGTCTCACCACACACTTGTCACCTAGCCCTGGCTTATTCACAGGTGGAAAATTCCTGGCCTTCTTATACCATGTCAGAGCTCTCCACAAGTGCCAGTGACAGGGGAGCTGTGCTGACAGCAAGTGAGTAGCCAAAATTCCCACTGGCATGAACACAATTATAGTGGTGTTAAAAACTTCTAATTACAGCTTGTCTTCAGAATCACCACCAATATCCAAAGCAAAACTCACTGAAAAATTTGCTTTGAAGAAGCAAGCAGCCTCTGTTATTCCTTACTTGTATTATTTTGTTGTTATATGATATGTTTGGAGGTAGTACAGGTTTTGCTTAGGGCTTGCAGCACTGCCCTTCTTGGAAGCCCTATCCAGAGACTGCACAATGAGACAAGGCTGTGCCAAAAATGCTAGTGAGAATTGGAAAGCAAATACACATTTACCATGGAGTACAGCACACTGTAAAAGCTACAAAGGACAAGTTGGGTCACTGCATTCAGGTACCACAACTCAGACAAGATATAATAACTACTACTAGAAAAATGTGAGAGTATTATTAACAATATATGCATAAATTGCTAGTGAGATGCATTCCTTGGCAGAAGGATTACAGATCTCTCTCACAGTTTCCTTGCATTTACTGTTTAGCTCTAATCTGGGGCAAGTCTGTGATGAAGGCAAATAATTTTGTCGTCTCAATCTCACGTCTCAGACCAAAAGCTATTTCCTCTTGATCAGTACACAAGAACTCCCACTCTCCTTCTACATAATGGATTTCATACTCCTCATTCAAATTTACAGGACTTTAGAACACCTCTAGGGCAAGTATGTACAAAGAAAAGCAAGCATATTATGGGCTACATCAACCTCTTAAAAGAAAAACCATCAACTAATATCAAATGTTTGAAAAGAGAAAACTCCAAGCAGATGTTGATGTTTACATGTTTGCATGACAGTGCTTTGCATTTTATTATACTAGAAGATATATCTGTCCACCTTAATATGCACAGGGAATTGAAGATGCCTGTTATAAAACAATCCATCTAGCTTGTTATTAGCTAGTTCACTGGCAGCTGGAAAGGAAAGTGAACCTTCCAAAAAAGTTTATTACAGCCCCCTTCAGCCTTCCAAAATGTTTACATTGAGGCATGTGAGCTGGCAGGGATCACCAATACTTCTCAAGCAGCTTTTTCAAGTAGTGCTGAGCTCCAAGTTGCCACAACTACAGCCTTTGCTGTACATCAGCCAGCTTGCATGTGTTTCATGAATATAAACACAGACGGTATTTACTCAAAAGAAGGTGACTGATATGTATCTCCAAACATACTGAAGAAATGCCACTATCCAACACCTGAGGTCATTCAGCACTTAGCCCACAATAATAGCCAAAGGTTGCAACCAGCCATGCATACCACCTTGAGCTGACAGGAACCAACCCCAACTTGAAAGCCACAGGGTTGTGAAAGTGTCATACTCTGCTGAAGCTGGTAAATTCAGTTGAGAAGTGTCAATTAGCAGATGCACTGTCTTATGGCTATGGACATAAAATTAATTGCACTGTAGTGGTTAGATCATTCAAGCATGGGAACACTGAACTATCTACCAACTGCAGCAGGTAAAACTAAATTAACTGAATGACCACAACCTACACCCATGCAGGCACTCCTTTCATTTTATGCAACAGGAACTACTTTGAGCACACTGGTATCTCACAGTATCACACAGAGGTAGAAAATGACTGTTGCAGCACAGGAAGCCCAAAACCACAGCAGAAATTGAACACACATTGCCCCTGAGGTTCATCTCACATTTTTGATCACAGAATCACTCTTTCCTACAAAAATGGGAAGCTTATATTTCTTGGTGCTGTTTTTTTACAGTCTGCTTAAACTGGAATAAACATAAAAAGAAGATACCAGTTGACTGTGTGTTTAGGCAGATTAGAAACTTTGTTTTAAATATATGCTTCAATGATGTACAGCACAATAAAACTGACTGAGACCTGGAAAATTTACTGAACACTTTATTGGACTGCCCCCAGAAACAAAGCAAACAGTAGTACACAGTAGGGTGATATATTACAAATGTATCCTTTTCACAAGATCTCTAGTGATTTTGCCCACAATTTCTTTCTTCTAAGTGAGTTATCACAAGCCATTGATTCCTTACAAAGTTAACAAGCAATAAGACAAGTTAACCTGGTGCTATTATGAGGCAATAATGTTGCCATCAGTGCATGCAACCACTGTATTTTGTTCATTTTTCCCTCAGGCACAATATAAAGAAGCCTGATCACATTTTTCAGCCACTATTCCACAATTAGACTGCATGGAAAATGCATAAACAGCAAAAGCATGCTGCAATTCAATTCTCTATTAATCTGGATGATGAAATAAAGATACTTCCATTAAGACATTAACTTCTTAAAGACACAAATTAGAGAGAAACCAAGACTATCTGTATACTTAATCCTGAAGCTCAGTTCTCTTTCAACGCATCAGTTATGCCAATATAAACTGATTGAAATATGTATTCTAACTAGAAAAGGTCAAACAATCATCAAGATTTTCCTAAACCCGTTACAAAAAGAAGTCACTGGCATTTGCACTATCAAGACACGTGAAAAGGCTTTGTATGCTTCCCCTCTCAATCCTTCCCTGCTGTCTACATATGGTGTGCTATTTCTGAACGGCAAATAAAACCATGTAACTACACCTATAAAGACTCTGAAGCAGTCAAAATACAAAACAGCTATTTGTTTTAGATCTGTGAAGGACTTGAATTCTGGTCCTCCAGCAATGGAGCAAGAACATTACACATTGTTTAGTTTCTACAAATCCATCTCGATAAGCAGAGGGTGCAGTGACACTCACAAACACTGTCAGTTTCTAGTTTTGATGGCATAATTCTTGTTTCAAAGACACACAGATACACACACGTGTGGCACACACAGAGCTCATTAGGTGAACAGCTCTCTTGAAAAGCACCAGCATTTTATGTAACAACTGAAAAGCAGGAGAAAGTCATATTATGTTCTCAGGCACGATGTTTTACAGATGCAATACATCAAAATACACCTTCCAATTCTGTCTTTGGAGCTACATATTGTATTGAAATGAAACCATGTGCTAAACTGATGCACACTAACCTGCACCAAAAGATCCCAGCATCCAGTCCATTTCCCTCAGAGGATTGGATAAGGGAGGCCATTATGCACCAAAGGTTTCCTTTCATGAACCACACTTCCTATTTACTTCACAAACGCCAGTTGCTCAGAACCTTCCTCATTAGTTCCCATCAACTCCCCTAAATTTCAGTACCTTTTAAATTACCTACAATGCACTCACAATAATACTAGCAAATCGTAATTTGGAGAAAATTAATGGTTAGAGAAATTAGCTCATAGTGAGTTTCAATTTTCTGTTTATATTCCTCAGACATACAAAAAACATAAAAGGATTTAAGGTAGGAAGTAATCAGGGATACAGAAAGAAAACAGTCAACATAAAAACTGTGTTTCTATACCTGCTGTGTTGGACATCACTATTCATGTACCAAAAAGAAGTTTCTGCCAAACTTTAATGTTCATTGCCAAGGATGGAGCACAAATTATGCCTTTCTAGAATTTTTGCAAGCTATCTTTGATTTCAGACCCACAAAATCATAACTGCAAGAGAATGTATGTTAAAGAAAAATATTTAAACTAAAATTGTGTTTTGACATGACAACACATTCCATTTCATACATAAATTTAAACGATATTATAATAGGCTTGAAGATAATGCCGATTAAGTGATAACAGCACAATGAAAGTCATCTGTAAGTGCCAAGAGATCCATAATGAAACAGTATCAACAAAATAGAGATCGTGTAATAGATACAATGATACAATAATTGATACAATAGATACAATGGTGCAATCTTTGTAATATATACAAGGATGCAATTGTTTAGATCAGGAGTGCAAATGACTACCTACCTCTTGGGACAGGAAGGGAATGACTTGTGCACATATAGCATTCAGCCTCTTGACAATTTCTGCCTGCAAGTCACAAAAAAGAAGTTCAATTACATAAATTCTCAAATGCAACTGAACCTTAAAGAGACATTTGTTTTCTTTCAATTCTGGCCATTCTCTGAGATGTTCTCAAAATAACAAAAGTTTGCACATGGATCCAAATGTACTTAGGAAGCTTGTAATTTCTAGCTAAAATATTTTCTTTAAAAACCACTATTTTAAAGTAATACAAAGTGATACAAAGAGTAGTTAATTTTGATTACACAATCAGAGGAATTTAAAGAACAGAATCTTCAGAAGATGTAACAGAAAATATAAACAAAATTCTGTGTATCAAACTGAACTCTCTCCTGTGACGCAAAAGGAAGGGTCACTTCAAATAAGAGCAGTGCCATTGTAAGTAAAGGGAACAAATATACCATTTATTTGTAACAGTGCATATCATGAGAACATTAGCATTAATATACAATCTTACTGATAATCATTCTACCTTATATTTCAGAAAGGATACTGCAGTCTTGTAACACACTTCTGCTGTTACCTATTCTCCTGGTTAGTAGTGGTTACTTTCATGTGGCAACTGTAACTACAAATTAATAATACACAATGTTTTATTTTCATACCAGACGTCAATTCTTTGTATTTAATTTGAAAATCTCAATAGAGACAGAGGAGATCTGTTTAAATAGCACAAGAATTACAGCTCCAGAAGCAGAATATTCAAAGTCACACAGATTTTCCTACCATAAATCACAATTTTCTTACAATAAATTCTAACCGGGATCAGTTCCTCATTTTCCAATCAGACAATGTTTTTCGTCTTGCAAAGTCATGAATCAGGGGATGAAGACACACTAACATGCAATTTAGCATTCCTTCTTCGAACAGCAAACCTTCCAGCCCTTTTGCTATGTTATCTTTTAAATGGCAAACACTTGGAAAAGAATCAGAAAGGCTCACAAGTAGCAGTAAAGTCAGAAGTTCATACAAAATTAGTCTGGGTTCAAGGAATATTACTGTTAGAGAGCTATGTAACGAGCAGGCATGGTTTGCAAGAGGTAAGAGCACATGTGGAACTAACTCTGCCCCCTTGTGCATACTGTGTGATCCACACAACTTAATACATGTTATTCTGGTCTACAACTTCTCTCTTTCTCTGAAATCCACCTAGATTTCTATATGCTATTTATATAGCAATTTCTATGTTAAACTGTCCTTGTATCTCCCCACTGGTATTCACTGTTTATGCAAGTCCTCATATCATTAAATTTACGCATTTTAATTTTTTTTTTTGTATTTGTTTATATATTTTTTATTTATTCTGCAGCATAGGTACCTTATAGGATACTTTATAATATGTTCTGTTTAGCAAAAATCTAAATTATCTACAAATTGCAAATACATGTATAATATCAGACATCCCACAAGGCAAAACTTAAATATGCCTTTAAACAGACAGCATTCACTACGCTAGTTGACAAGGAAATTTATTAACTACTTGTTACACAGAGCAGCACAGGGAGTGACAAGTTGTGTGCACCTAAGCTTCAGCCAGAAAGGCTGCACATTCCAGTACAGCATTACTTGGATACCAGTACTTGATTAAGGAAATGCAGACTGTAATACAACACACAGCTGTAAAGTACCTGTTCTTAGTGGTTCAAGCACCATTAGTGTACTCATTTCCAAATTTTGGGTTTCAGCCGCACTGCTATTTTTTTTGAGAAATATCCTGAGTGCCCTAAAGCCAGAGAGAAAATTACACATTCTATTCTTCAAGGCTTTTCCACATGAGTAGAAAATTCCCCAGTGCACCTGTCCTGGTGTAAGCTGAAGCCACCCTGACCTACTGTTTAACATACACATGTGCCTTTGTTAAAAAAAAGGCACAACATGCTTTCTTCTGCTGCAAAACAACAACTCCTCATCTTTAAAATGCCTGTCACAACCTTGTCCTGCCCAGCTCCATGGGAGTAGCCTTTGGAAAACCCCTTTTCTACCACAGCTACCTCAGGTGGATACCTTTACTGCACTGCTAAGGAACTGAGAATAAAACCAGCTTGAAGTGCTAGGCAAGAGCTCAGCATCTAATTTTAAAAAGCTTGTAGATTCATAGATTTTAAGGCCAGAAGGGACTGTTACAATTGTCTTATTTGACCTCCTGGGTAACACAGGCTGTAAAACTTCACTGGCTTCCCCATCAAACCCGTAAATTACCATTCAGCTAGAATATAGCTTAGTCAACAAAAATAATTTTATTCAATTCACTTTGAGGCATTTCTTCTCAAGTAAGGTACTCAACCATAGATATTTCAAGTTATTTCAGTTATGATGTTTTTCTTTTGATCACTTCCCTCCCTCCTCCCCAAGAGAAGTATGTCTCTCTTCAACTGCTCTTCTGGCCAAAATGTGGCTGAAATGTATTTGCTCAGTATTTATATTAAAAAATCACCTCTGGCATATTCTGAACCTGGGAAATGTTCAACTAAAAAGAGTTTTCTAAAAAGCTGTAACTGAAAACAGGTGGCTGAATATGCACAGTTACACAACAGCAATAAATCTCCTGATATCAATCCCACTGGAGTGCAGAACCAGTCCTTTCATGCTGTATGCAGGGAAGTGAGCTGATAGAGACAGCACCCAGCTCAGCCTATAGAGAAGAAAAACAGCTAAAACAGCTTCAAGTGATGTCAAAACATTCCTCAGTAGCATTTCTCTGCTCAGCCAATCAGAACAAAGCCTAAAAGCCATTGCTATGCTGAAGTGTTTGCATTTTTTCATTATTAAAACAGTCTTCACTTTCCCTAACAAAAATCATCCCCAGTTGCATGGTTGTGCATACAGTTATCATCCTCCAAACTCAGGTAGCAGGGAAACAGCCCAGCTGAGCAGCAGCAGACTGCAGAGACACAGCATGACTGAGATACAGACTGCCTACCTTAGGAGACCACATGCAGTCTGAAGGCATAAAGGAAAACACTGTGTACATGAACAAATGGTAGGAAGGTACACATTGTGTACCAAGAAAAGTCTCACACCAGGCATTTTCACACAGTAAATATGAAGTACACTCTGTCTCAATACTTCAACTGTTTCAACAATTAACTGCAGGAGATAATGCCACAGCAACAGGCTTGATTGTCTGCCACAAAACATACAGAAAAAAAGGTGTTAGCTGCCAGAAGCTAGTTGGGTAAGTTTCTTGAGATGCTGCCCTGAAGCTTGAAGGTGTAGATTCTGATTGACATAGATTAGCATCTCAGTAGACCTATCCCTAGTATCCTGGAAGAAGCCTGGAAACTCCTCCTTTGCCTAAGGTACAAACTCTGACACAAGGTAAAGCACAAATTCACATTTGTATTCACACACATCTTTACAACCCTACATTTGAACAACAGTTCAGATTTTTTTTTTTTTTTCTGTTAGGCATCAGGTCAATGGGTTTTTCATGATCAGTCTAACTGCCAGGAGGAGAAAGTATGATTTCATAAAACCAGGCATCCAAATTCCTCACATGGAAAGTCAAAGTTGCCTCGGAAACACGGAAAACACGGCTGCTTCCACAGTCATCTAATTTTACCTCTTTTGTCCCACAGGACCAGGCTTTAGAGAGGCTTCATTTATTTACAGGCCCTTCCACTGGGCTTCAGTTATCAGCCAGCAATGTTGTGGACACACACACTTCTAATGGCCTGTTTTGAAACCAAGTCTAATCTGATGGCACAGCGCCCAAACTCCTTTTCCAGCACAGCCATTAAAGGATGTAGGTTATTGCTGTTGTCACCATTGATATTTGTCATTGTAATGTAATTAGGGCCCTAAAATGATGCATTACAGCCCTTGGCACAGCTTCTATTAAAATCTTTTCTTCTGCTCACTGAACTGCGACCTGCTTTCTGATGAATAACAGACAGACAGCTTTAGGGTGAGGAACAGATTCATCAAAATAGTATTTTCCAGATCTGAAAATAAAATAAATAAATAAATGAGCACAAGGGCAACCTTGTGCAAAAACACAAGCAGGGGTGAGGAGAAAGGAAAGCAAACAGCATACTTGAATTTCATCTGACCACTTGAAAGTCTGATTGCATCTAATGAATCTTTCTTAGGACAATATATTCCCAGCCTGTGAATCACATGGTTAATCAGGGCTCTAATCTGCTATCCATCAGCCTATGCCAGCACTGTAAATTCCAATTACATTTATAGGTTATGTGGGTCATGCATTCCCAAACAACTATATTCACAAATATCCCATGTAAACTGGCACATTTTCTGAAATGCTGTTGTTAGTGTTTCTGAATGTTATAATACTATTCAAAGCTTTATGAAAGGTCCTGATAAACAACTGCTAAATTATTGCCTGTGGATATAGAGGAATGCTCTGAAACAGCATTAATGGCCCAATAAAAGGGTGACTGTTCATGCCAAAATATAAAAAAGATAGCTTTGGCTGCCACAGTTTGTCAAATCTGTTAACAAACACCGACACTTCTATTACTCCTTTCCCCGAACATAAAAGATGCCTGGTTTTGCATAAAGACACACCAGCATGGAACCAGAAAAGATGAAGGAAAAGCAGAAAGGAAAGGCTTGAGCTTCAATTGCCTTTTTGCTTATGTAATACAAGCTTGTATTGTTTGCATCCTTTAAGAGACACCTACAAGACACTGTATTCAAAATTTTGATCTCTTTTCATTGACACTTACGTGGCATCATTTTAAAAAGATATTAAATATTTATTAACTACAATGCAAACTTTTTTCTTTTTTTCTGCATATAAGGAGATGATAATAAAATCACTGTGCCAGAATCTGATCCCAGTAAGGTTACGAAGATCTATATCAGTTAACAGTCCCCTCAGCATTGTTGCAGGGATGCACACAAGAGCAAAAGCTTAAGTTTCTGATTCAGACAGCAAAATCTTTCTGACCTGACAGTTAAATGGTACTTTATTTCCTAAATATACCCAAAAACCTGGCACCTTAAGTTCACAAGTGCCTATAAAGTGTTCTGAAAAATGT